GTCACATTAAAATTAAATAACCTTATGTTATTTTCATTATTATTAGAATTGTATTTTAAAGGTAATAAATGTAAAAAAAAACTTATTCTATTTATCACTTGCTGTCTACCCACAGCTTCTCCCGCATTATATCGAATTTTCTCGTGGGAGTAAGATATATTCTCGCAGTAAAATGTAGCCTATGTCCATCTCCAACATGTAAGCTATTTCTGTCTTACAAAGCTCTATCTTATAAAGTTATCTCTGTGCCAAATTTTATTAAAATTTGTGTTATAAAGCTTTCTCTTGTGCTTATAAAGCTTTCTCTTGTGCTAAAAATTGTGCTTATAAAGCTATCTCTGTGCCAAATTTTATTAAAATTTGGCACAGAGATAGCTTTATAAGATAGACAATTTTATTGTTCAGCAGTGTAGACGTGAAAAGGTAACAGACAGACAGAATTACCTTCGAATTTATAATATTAGTATGGATTAATATGAATTTCTGCTATAAGGGGTACGTGAGTTTGAGCTCTTTCTTGAAGTGGTATGCAGGAAAAACTAATTGGGAACCCACTGCTCTACTGTAATTATTATAAAATAGCAAAAGCTTAATTTTGAGGGTAGAGATGGGTTTTATAAAAAATTGTAAATGCTAATAATGAGTAAAAGCTTCGTTAAGTCTGACCCCACTTGAGATATGACACATGACTCCCTCTATATGAAATGGTAACACTGTTTATGGGATCAATCCTGTACTTTAGTCCACATATTGTGATAGTGGCATAAGGTGAAGTGTGAGTCCGTGAATGTTTTTGTTTGATTTTGTGGTGGTCGTGCTCATGCAGGGTTGACTTTGAGTGAAAATGTTTCACAGTACAAATAGGTGAATTTGTGACTTCATGTATAGTTATTTTGTATATGCCGTTATCTTACCATTATTTTTTTCTGTTTGTTATTATCAAAATCAAACATTTTTTCCATGTGCCTACTTCCAGTCTCTCTGCACATCACTAAAAACAGTGTCAAATACCCTAACACCACCTACAAGTGTTTTTGCAAATTCTTTCTTTTTTGCAGCAACAACTTTCCAATTGATTTAATATTTCCGAACTAAACATATAATGATTTTTTAATTGTTTTCATTTATCATTCATATTAAATATTGCAAAAGTATATAAATCACAAATTGAAACATGACAATTAAGTCAACGAAAAGTAAAAAAACAATTTAAAAATCATCAGAAATTTCTGATGAAACAATAAAAAAAAGAATACATACACTTGGAGCAAGTAGAGGTAATGATCCTAATCGAATATCTTTTAATGCTTCACAAATATGATTCTGAATATCATGGATGGTGGGAAAATAACAAAGATTGTGACGTTCTGGAAGTGACTCTTGTGATTGAAACATCTCTCTTTCAACAAATTTCCTTTAAATAAAATACAAAACTTAATTTAAACAAATGCCTTTTAGCTTTATACTTTAATACATTATTTGGAAAAATTTACACTAACCTTAACTGCTTTCTTATGGCAAATACTCGAACCTCACCGTGGGAGACTAGATCACGAATTTTCTCGACCAACTGGGGATGAATACGAGAGAGACGTTTAGAACACGAAGGAATTTCCGTTTTAATTTCAGTTTCCATAGTTGGTTGGTGCTGTGTGTGAGAAGCTCTGCGAGATGACGTTCTTCCGGAAGGTGGTCCCTCATGAAATTCATGAGCGAGTTCTGTAGGGAGCTGAATGTACCACCTACAATGACAAGATATTTGAATTACTTTTATGTACAGTAGAACCCTGGTTATCTAAGGCAAACCTGTAATTTCATGAATTACAGTATAAGAAAAGTAGTGAATAGATATACCGTAATTCATATAATAAAAATACCGTAATTCTTATACCGTAATTCATGAAATAAAAAAATATATACATAAATTACCTATCTTCTCCATGACCTTCAAAACCAGACGATTTTAAATCTAAAAATGCTTTTTCCATAGCTGCTCTTAAGCTCTTTTTATCTAATGTTAAATTAACTTGATATTCTGGAAACTTTCTGACTTTTTTTATATATATCCTAAGTTAATCCAAAAAAAAAAAAAAGTTATGAAAGCATAAACTTTTATTTTTTATATCTACAAAATCATTACAAATTTTCTACCTAGCTGGACAAGTTTGCTTAAATTCCCCCTTCTGCAATCCTTCTGTAGGTTTCTTCCAAGAGCTTCCCTTCCTCCGAGGTCCATACTGGCATTCCATGACTACTGCTCGACTTCCTACAAAATGAAATGTACCATTAATCTTTTTTATACATAAGTAATGAAATACTTAAAACTATATTTACCGGCATTAATGAATGGAATTCCATCAAATGGCACGTATTGTGATTTCCACATTAATCTAAGAGAGTTTCGATGGACTCCGGTAGATTGGCGTGTACCCCAAAATGATTGTGTTTCTTGCTTGTGATAGGCAAGGAGGAGGTCAAGCTCCACTTCTGAAGAAACCCATCCCCTGTAGGAATCTCCAATATGCTGGAAATAGCAATAACTTTAATTTTACGTGTTTGTTTGTTCTATTAACACATAGACAATTAATTTAACATAATTTACTTCGCAGTCTCGCATACGAAGGGCCCACTGAGGAGCATCGATAGAGGAATTCTGCAGAGATGGAGACAACAAGAGAGAAGTGATGATGTCTTGCTTTTCGCTTTTACATTCCACCTGGTTAATTTCGCATGAAGTTTCTTCAACCGGTTTTTCTTCTAAGAATACCATCAACAAATATATATTTCTAAAACTTGTTACAAAATAACATATATTAAAACAATTACCAGTTTTTGTAGTCACTTCTTCAGGACTTAAATGAATAATATGAGTTATTCCTGAATTAACGCTGGGTTGCACCACCTGCCATACTTTACCACAATACTGTTGTGACTGAACTTCTGGTGTCCCGACGCTAATGACTACTCCATTTAATGCATCTAGAGAATCAGCAGTGAGTACGGTTCCCTCCTGCGTCTGGACTATGTGAACAGGTTGGAATGTTGTGCCAGATGGTAGAGTAGACTGTATGGCTGTCTGTAATATACCTAATTACAATAAAAATTGTAATTAAAAGCAGGAACCATTTATCAAAAAATGTAAAAATTGACAAAAGGTACCAACTTTCAGGAGGGCACTCTGCAGTGGTGCTAATTTCTGAAGTTTCTTGCTTAACATCCATCCCCACAACTGTTAAATTATTTATAGTCTAGTATATAAAATACAAAATGTTCAATTTTATTGGAAATTCATATAATTTTAATTTAATTTTAAATATAATTAAATGAGAAATGATTAAAAATTACTAAAATTCCAATCCCTCACTCATACCAATCCATGTACTGTACATATGGATCAGTATTGATCCTCATCCAAGATGGATACAATGCTCCAATCCACTCTACCTAACATATTATAGATCTGAATTAAATTTCAACCTAGATCTGCAAAGCAATCAGTGCTGTCTTATCCATCAGGCACAGTGCCTAGGGCCTAAGAAAAATTAAGAGTCTACAAAATTAAAAATTGAGATAATAGAAGTTATGAGAATTAAAATAGAACATTAAGTTTTTGTTCAGCCAGTTTATTTTATATAGACTTTTCCACACAGTTCTACAATTTTCTCAACTGGCAACTGTTTTAATATTTCACTTTCTATGGAAAGTACAGATAAATATGATAATTTTGTTTCAGACAAATTAGATCTTAAATGATTTTTAATGTAATTTAATGTTAAAAAAGATCATTCTCCTTCAGAATTTGATCCTAAAATTGACATGTACATTCTAAGAGCAATATTCTGTATTCAAAAAGCTGGATAATAAATTCTGCAATAATTCTTGAACTGTTTTGCAATCTGGAAATAATATAAAAAGATAAAATAAAAATATTATATTTTTAAAAAATAAAAAAGTGCCTAGCACCTACAAAAAGCTTAATGCGGCTCTAATAGCAATAGGTTAACACTATGTAACAATTAACTGACTAGTTTCCCAAAGGAAAATTTCAAATACTTTTTCAGATTTTTTGGATATATAAAAATCCATCAGCAAAAATTAGGAATACAGACTAATAATTAACAATCCACTATACAAGGAAGTGAAGATTTCAGGATAATCATTTAAAATATCTGGAATGATACAGACATCATCTTACAAATTTACTATATTAGGAAAGAAGTGTCTACACTTCTATGCATATGTTATTCTGTATGATCTACAAGCATGGTTCCATGAAGGATGGAACTGAATGGAACTGAAGGATACATGTTGGCATGCTAACATGTATCCTTCAGTTCTATGCTCAAAAAATGATAGAACAGAAGCCAAACCAGTGGCATAGCATAGTGGGGGAGGCACTTTTAGGGGGCGGCAAAATTTCACAATAAATAATAATAATATCTTGTAAAAATTTGAACAATTTCATTTCATATTTTTGTCGCACCTACGATTCGGACATTGAAATAAGCACAGAATTTTTCATTACTTATTCTGTGACGAAACTGAATTTTAGTCTTTTAAGGGGGCGGAAATTTTCCTCCGCCCCGGGCGGCTGACACCCACGCTAATCCACTGAGCCAAACATCTTTTGATATGAAAGCTAAGAGATTTCCTTTCCACTTCCCAACATCCCTCCCAACAAGATAGCTTTGAAGTATCACAAAAAGTGAAATGTCCACCTAGTATGGAAAATATGTCCAACAATCTTTAATATTCTTAAAAATGACAAGGAGGAATTTCACTGCCTAGATATAAGTGGAGTCTACAGAATCCCCATCTGACAACACTGAAAACATTATGGTGTACAGGAATCATAGCCAGTAAAACCCACATTAGAATTAAGGAATATTATCATCTTAGTTACAAAATGTAAAAAACTAGATGCCAAGTAATGTTACAAAATTAACAACTGTCTCTTGGCATTACAGAAAACGTTTATTTACACAAGTACTTTTGACAGTATATAACTCTTCTCTTCAGGCAAATTATTATTCAGAGAACAGAATGCTACTGTTTAAAGAATGAAATATAAACAGTAGAGAATATTTTTTTAAAATTGTTACCTGTGCACAAGCATGGAATGTAATTGAAAAATTCTGTAATTTTATATATTTAACAACCAGAGTATGCAATTAAATATAACCAATATTGCTGAACCAAAATACAAAAGCAAACTAATATACAGCAGCACCATTAATGAAGCTTTTTGTTGTAAAATATGCAATTTACAACTTTAAAAGCTTAAATAATGCTATCCGCAGTGCTCATATGTCAAACATGGGGGAGTTGTACAGCAACATTGATGCAATGAAAAGAGACTCTCAGATAGTATTCTTCAGTCTCCACAATGTTTTATGAGGAAAGTTTGTGACAAATGTAGATCAAATTTACCTTTAAATTTACAATGTGACAAATGTAGATCAAATAAGCAATCAGAATTTTGTTAAAGATTTGCAATATTACAACTGAATCCGTTTCCATATTGGTTCAAGTTAATGAACTTTGATCCAGAGGAAACCTTAAATGTAATAGAAAAAACTCATAAAGCTTGTAATATTCAGCACAAACAAGCAGAACTCCTCAAAGAACAAAAGGAACACATCATAAAGTTTGAATCTTAGTTGTCAGCCTTAGAAACCTGCAACGTCCACACCAGCAGTGAGAAATCACATCCCCATTTGGTATATTTATATAAGTGTATGTATTACATATACCATTCTATCGCCATGGCAATGCACATGCATAACTGTTTATTCTTTTAAAATTCGTTTGTGCTGTTCCATTTTTTGAAAATAATTTCATAATCTTTGTTCTACGCATTCACTTGTTCGAATCTCACTGGTTTTTTAAACCTGAAGAAGACCGAAAGTACAGTCGAAAATGTTTGTTTGCTATTAAATGTTTACTACTGGACTTTTAAGGTTTAGGAGTGTTAATTTAGTTATTGTTGTTTTGATAAGTATGCTATTTACTGAAAAATTGTTATATTATTCATACATCCAGTGCTTGTTCAATGGTAATTTGCAGCTTAGGCAAAACTGATTTTTGCCATCCCAGCTTCCAGAACAGTTGCTAATAGAAAAGCACTTTAAGCACTGGTATGAACTATTTATAAACAATTTTAATGTATATTTATTTTATTTGGATTATTTTTATTTTTTTCTCTATTTTAACATTTTTGATGGAATTTTGCCACTCAAGGTAGTTACCTCAGGCATCAAGCTGGGCCTGCATACATATCCTTATTGCAGAGATGTCAAGAAGAAAATACATGGACTATATTAAATATAATCCATCAATAAATTCAATATTCTAATAATTGAACAAGTTTCATACTGTAAACATATCTAATCTATACTTTTTATGACAAATTGATTATTAGTTTTGGGGTGCCTGCATACTGAGGACTTAGGGGTGCCATATTTCTAAATGCACCACTGCAGATGATAATTAAAACATACAAATGTGAAGAGATAATTCTATTTATTCAAATTATATTAATTGTAATAAATTGTAAAATTTATAACAACTAATCATGTGATATTTGTCTACTGTAATAATTAATCAAAATCATAAATGTAATTTAATTCTGTTTTTATTAATTATTAATTACATATAATAAATATGTCATATATTTAGTACATAGACCTAATTGCTTGTATACTCTAAAAAAATACAAATATATCATGCAAAATGGCAAGCAAAATTTTGTACAGTCATCAGATCAATTCTGCAAAATTCTTCAATCAGGGAGTTGATTTTATAACTGTTCAATCATGTGTTGTCGAAGAATTTGCTATTTTGAAGAATTTTTAATTGAAGTTTATCTTGGAAAATAAAATTCTAAATGCAAAGGAAAGAGGATGCAATTGCAACAGATTACTACTTTGTTTCCACACAGATGCAACCATGGAAAAATGTTCTCAAGGATGCACTTTTTTGATAACTCCATCTATACTGTATACTGATATACTCATTGAATTATTTTTCTTTCTAACTTTTTCCACCTTTCAGATATTAAGAGAACATTTTTCATACCCATTGTGAATTTGCCAAACTTGTAACCAGATGACTGAATGTTCAGTAACAAGGCCGGTATAAGTGGATATCCAGAATATCCACAAAAATCTAAGGACCAAACCGAAACCTAGATCCTCTGAAATTGCAGATTGACATCACCTACTGCCCACACCCTATTGGCAATCTGGCTATCATTTCCATTGATCAGTTATAATGCATTTTAAATATACTTTTAAAACAGTTTATTCTATTTTTCACTTAATATTTAACAGATGATGATAAAAATTAACTCTCACTGTCATTAAGTATAATTTAACTTATAAGAAGAAACATATATAACCATCAGTGTATCTGGGGCTTACAGTGTGGCAGCACCTCGATATTAAAGTAGTTTTGTTATTTTAAAATAATAAACAAACATAATGCATATTGCATGATTCAATCAGTAAGATTAGTTAACTAAAGTAGTTCTATAGTAAATGAGTATTCTATTATTTCCATATTCTATAAATCCTGGACATGCCACTGATTATAGTACTGTATTTAAATTTTCTTCAAAAATCATAAAACAGAATTAAAGAGTTTTTGATTATGTTAATTGAAAATAATAACTTATGTAGTAATTATTTTCGATTCTAAAGATGCTAGTAATTAATAACAAAAATAATTCTCATTCTTTTATTCGATTAATTTCAAATCAGTAGATTATCTCAACTGTAATCAAGATTCTTGTGATTATGTGCAATCAACATTTTGATTAAGCTTATCATTTAGAGCAATGGTTGGCAACCGATGATCCGTGGACCATTAATGGTCTGCAAAAAAATTTGGTTGGTCCTTGAAGAAATTTGAACATTGATCAACTGAAGGTTATGCAAAGTGTTATGAAAGAAATGCAAAATGCTTAGTTGCTTTTTTTTCACTCATTGGGGTTTTTTTTATTCAAATCTAAAACCAAATACAAAGTGACTGTTATCAATAAATGATGAATAATAAACAATATTGCGAGTGCAATCATCCTCCTTCATGGAAAAGCACTAAAAATCCATAAACTTATTTCAAACAAGCAGCAATGAACTTTAGGCTTTCATTAATTTGTTATAATTAAACACGTGAGTTTCATATTAATATAGTAAAATTGAACTTTTATGATCATTATTTTACAGATTTTGTGTCGTTTAAATAATAGTAGTCCGAGGGATTCAAAATTGTGAGTTTAGTGGTCCGTAAGGTTAGAAAGGTTACCGACCACTGATTTACAGTATAAATTCTAATGTTAAGACCCAACTGTACTATCTTAAATGCAAAATTTTGACCATGAAATCACAATCAGAAACATTTTTACATTATTTATTTTCTTTACATAAGAAGAAAGTGAAAGTTTAATGATTATAATTAATAAAACACATATAAATAAAGTAAGAACATGTACTCAAAAGCTAATAAAAGCTGTTTATTTTAATTTTTTTGGTTAAGAAAAAAGCATTCAATGTTGCTGAGCTTTTCTAACAAGTCAAAGTATTTTTCTTTGTCACAACGGTTGTTTTATCAACAAGTGAATCCAGTGTAACTAGCATATAATAGAGGGTAATTAATTCAGTATTTTATCTCCATTCTAACATGAAAACAGTCAAAAAATGTGACAAAATCATCATCATACGACGAAATCTAAGTGAAATCTTTTGCTAGACGATTTTCAAACGCAGAAGAATCCACACAATTCATAAATAACGTTAATTTAATCTTAAAAGTATTGATAAGAAACCTTCGCAGGCAAAATATTTCGTTTTTATCCGAGCCGTGAAATTTTTTGAGACGACAATCGATAGATCGTCGAGGAAAAAAAAAAAATGTTAAAGCACGAAACGTTTCCAATTTCTAAACAATGCGGCATCGATCAGGAGACGGAGAGAAGGGTCAAAGGTCGAACTGGGCGGGGCCCACGTGCCGAAAGGGGTCACGACTCGGTAAAACCGTAAAAATGAAGAAATTCCCGAACGAATAACGTATTGGAATAAGGCTCAATGACAGAAAGATTAAAAAACGAAGTATTCGAGGGGAGGAAGCGAAATTCGATCCGCGTCCATAATTAAGAGTTTAGTCGATAATCTGAATGAAGAATGAAGCACCCGAATCGCTCGTGACACGTGTTATCTACTATCTAAACGAAAAGGAGGGCGAAAGACGAAAACGAGTCACCAACCTCGTCATCGGCCATCGGATT